CCACCGCAGCCACGCCCGCCCCTCCGATGGCCCGGCTAATCATCTCTCAAACCACCGTGGCAATGACCTCATCCTTTCCCTGCAGGCATCAAACAGCAAACAAGTCTGTGTTTTCTGAGAATTTTGTGTACATTTCATCAGTGTTCTCTCTCTTTACACTTTCAGCAGATGCTATTCAACCGCCTCTCTATGCGTTTCTAAGATTTTTCATGATTCAGGGTTCGGATTTCAGGGTTGCAAACCCCGGGTAGCTCGCAAGCGACGAGAAAAAGGCAGAGAAATACGACAAATCCACAGGTGTGAGATACACAGAACTTATAGCGCACTTACAAATCGTCCATTGATACCCGATTGATTCATTATTTGTTGCAGATCTCGTACGCAGACTCAGGAGGCACCGCCTGTCACTGACGTCAGACGCCGTGAGGTCAGCGGAGCAGTCAGCACATCCGTGGTGCACTTCTTGCTATCGCTGTTTGTGTCTGTCGTCTGGTCAGGCCGTCGCGCCGTTCTGTCGCCCAAGACGATGAAACAAAGGACTCATGAAGCGTGTGTTGGGCGTTAGTTGTCTTGTCCTGCTGCTCCAACTTGGACCTCACCCCGCGATTTGTTCGCCTTCCCTCCCCTCGTTCGTCCACCCGGCGCGCGTGAACGCTCTTCGCAGCCGGACGGGACGACCCTGTGGCACAGATGGCTGTGAGCACACGACGCGGCTTGAGGCGACTCGGGCGCATCGGCTGGTCCGCTTCTTCCGGGGAATCGAGCTGCCAGCATTTGGCGAAACCCGCCGGCTGCGAGAGATGATGTATACCGCGAATAAGCGGCGGGCGCGCGAGTGCATCAACAATACGATAGATAATGGGGGGCTCAACTCCAGGGGCACCTTCATGGCGATGCTGAATTGCGCATTGGAAGACGTTGGTACGTCAGAAGAGGGGGTCTCCTGACCTGTGTGTGACGATATGAATGTGTGTGTGCAGGCCTGCCGAGGGCCGGTAATGAGCGCGGGAGAATTAAGGCGCTCGCAGGGGTCTATGCATCTCGGCCCTTCCGTCACATGGAGGTCTCGGCCAGGGCACTTGAGCGGATCTGGCAGCAGTGCTGCAAAGATGGAAGGTCCGAAGCAAGTGGGGATCGACGACCACATGCTCGCCGTAGGTGTGTGTGTGTGTTCTTGGCAGGAACTTCGGACAGTTCTACCTCGACATGTGGAGTGAGATTGACAACGGAAACTGTACGCACAGCGCCGACTAACGAACGAACGAACGCACTCGCGCGTGGACACAGCTACATCCATCCCCTGTGTGTTTGTGTGGGTGTGTGGGTGTGCAGATGCGCATGTCCAGCGGTGCTACGGTGACCCCCTGTGGATCGACCTCAAGGACGAGTCCAACCTGGACGCCATGCATGAGATGGCCGAAGAGCTGGGCGTGCGGGCCATCTCGGACAAGCGCTTGGGCGTCTGGGAGTTTGCAGAGGAAGAAGCAGACCCACACGCGCTTTACATCGAGGATTCACAAGATAAATAGACCAGACAGACAACACCCAAACACCCGCCGGCGGGGGGCAGGGGGAATTTTAATCATGCAGTCAGTGACTTGCAAGGTAGTGAGGGAGTGAGCCAGCAAAGCTGCCCACGGCCAGCAGTGTTTTATGGCGTGGTGCGTGTGAGAGGGAATGTCTGTGTATGTCATCAATGGTTGGGTCTTAGAGGGGCCGATTGGTGAGGGGCGGGCCGAAGCACAGGTCTCCTTCCTGTGTGTGTGTGTAGATAGATTAGATTGGTGACTTCTGGCTGGCACGGCACACACTGTGTGGGTGTGGGTGTAGTTGTGATGGACCCTGCATACGCCGGACCGATGCATTATCTATCGTTGGTTGATTGCAGCTGGTCATGAGAGCGCGTTGGATCGAGACATGACTGACTGACGTGCACCAACAAATCACAAACCACATAAAGCCCCAGCCAGCACATCATGACAACTATATCTCACACCGATGAATGCAGCAGCACGAACACACACACCTCCCCTCGACACACACCGTCGCATCGCGTTGCATTGCGGTCACCTTCCTACTCGCTCACTGTCTCACACGCACCACGCAACCACACACGCATCCATTCACTCACTCACTGCCACCCGCGATTGTACGTACGTTTGAGTTATCCATCCATCCCTTCGTCCGTTCGTTGCTTCGCCATGTTCGATGATGTGTTTGTGTGTATGCAAGGAGAGAGAAGAGGGGACCAACCCGTTTGGACTGCTATCACACACACACACACGTGCAGGGACATTACTGACCTGGTACTTCACGAGCGAGCGCCTGTGTAGAGCTGAGCTCTGCTCGAGTCTAATTGGCGACTGCTGCCCGGGGGACAGACAGGCGCATTCATTCACTCATTGCATGTACTAGCCAATTCGTGGCTTTCTGTACGCGCGGATCGCCTAGTACGATAGATCATGAAAGAGCCATTAGTTCCTTCCCATCAATCAAATCGATGTATCAACCGGGCGGCCGCTGCGTGGCGTACCCATCCCTCCGTCGATTGGGAAAACGACGCATACCGATACAAAATGTAGGCAGTGATCTCTCTTAGCCTCACTCCCTCATTCAGCTAGCCAGCCAGCCAGGCACCAATCAGGAAGCCAGACGGCCCTCTGTATCTGAAGACCTCGTCTGCCCTTCTCCATCGGAAGACGCTGCATCTCTTCCGCAAACACGACACGCACACAGGGCCTCCTGCTATGACAGGAAGGCCGTCGCCTCCTGCTGCGTCATGATTCGGGATGGCGCCGCATCGTCTGCCACTGCCCAGTAGCTGCTGTCGCTATTGCTGCTGTTGCTGCTGCTCCCGCCGTCTCCCGATCAGGGCGGGCCTGTCCTCAGGACACTTGAGGACCGTCGTAAAGTGGCCTGCTTCGGCCATCACGTTGCCGTAGCGGTCTTGCTGTGGGTGATGCAGCTGGGCAGTCGAGAGCCGACAGATAGGTGAGGGGACCGATAGTCTTAGGCAGTACAGCGTGAGGGTCATGGGAAGGTGTACGGGGAGGGGGCTCGGATACTACGATCGATATCACCGTTGTTCTTGCAGACGTTCTGGTTGCGCTTCGCAGCGAAAGGGAGCACGTCATTTGGCAGGTCAAAACACAGCCTGCATCAGCCAAGAAGAAAGTGAGGTTTTCCATGTGTCGCCTTCCTTGTCTCCCTTTGTCTGCTTCTTCTTACTGTTTGTATCGACGGCGGCCGCAAGTGGGGCATCTCGCTGCGTCCTTCATGAGCTCAAGTTTCAGAGTGGTCTCCTCAACCAGCTCCATCAGCACCCACTCTCTGGAGGCATTCATTACGCGACTGATCCCCAAGGACACCATCCGCTGCGACTCCGCCCTCTCCGTGCCATCGCAGCAGTGAATGCTCACCAGTCGGCTCACGAATGAGCTGCCGATGAGGACGTTGAACCGCTGGTCGGATGCAACGCCTGCCGCTGCCTCCTCACTATCGATGAGGTGCAGGAGGGCGGTGCACGTCTCGGCGGTGTCCTGTTGCCTTCTGACATCGGCGTGGTACCCAGACGTCTTGGGGGCGTTCTCGAGATGGACGAGCAGGCCAGTCAGGTCGACAGGTCGACAAGAGGAGGACAGGCCGGGGTGAGGGACGGGGCTTTGTCGATGGTGAGAAAGGCCCCTTTTAGCTTCTCTGGAGTGTAGGCGACGCTTCAGTGCCATCTGATCTGCAAAGAAAGACCCACAAGGAACAAAAGAGAGGCATCATCAGATGAGACAATCCAGCGGCATTGATTCCAGCCCCCTGCAGCTCCCCCACGCACTGCAATAGGTGACTCCCTTTCACCTGGTGAGCCTTCCGCACCGCCTTGAAGATGCTCCACCTTCAAAATGCAGCTACGAAGGCCGTCACGCCGATCGTCAGGATGAACCAGACAACACACATACACACACACACGAATGAGTACACAGGCAAATGATGCTCGTTTCGTTTGCGTGTACCCGCGTATTGCTGCCACTCTCGCCGACCGATCTTGTGGCCTGTTTGGAACCGCCCCCACCAGGCAGCGGGAATGCACATGAACACGAGAATGGTGACGACTACAATGGCCGTAACGACGCTGACGACGATGGTGGCGATCATCCATGGACCTCGGACGGGATACACGGCCTTTGTGACGGCGGGCTACAACCGCGAGAAGCTCCTCGGCTCCTTCACGGGTGTCTTTGTGGGCGGTCATGTGCTGTCGTTTACGTCGAACCTTCACGTCATTGCACGCCACGCCTCTCGCGTGCATGCAGGACAGCGCTGTTCGCCCTTTGCCGGCGAAATGCGATAGTTGGCGGCCTGAAAGAATGGCAGGCAGGCAGGCAGGCAAAGGGAGAGACGGCTAAGGCAAATGGGCAGCATTGTCCATCATACTGCCTTTTCAGGTTACCGTTGACGTATTTCGATGGAGAAAGAGTCACCACACCGCGGGCACGCCGCCAGCCCTTCTGCCGTGTACATCACGAAGGTTGGCATGTACAAAATCTGCAAGCACATACATAGCGAGACTAGGACATTTCAGACAGAACCAGAGAAAATTCATGTCTTGTGTTTGCGTACGCCGCCTCGTGAGTGGTTGGGCTTGAGGATCTTCACCATATCTCGCCGCCACGTGGGCGGCAGCCCACACCACCAGAGGGCTGCCGAAGACCAACTGCTTCTCCAAAACTTCCACGTTGCGATCGACAGAGGGAGAGCACTGCACCCTGTATCGGTTGGCAGCACCACCGGGTCTGCAGGCTTGAGGGGGGGG